TTTTTTTTTTTTTTTTTTTTTTTTTTTACGTTGGGAAATGTTTTATACATACCGCCCGCCCTTCGGGGGGGCGAGCGGTTATGTGAGGGTCACCCGGCGCCATAAGGGCGCCGGGTATACTCACTAAAACCCAACGGTGTTCCTCCTTCCCGCTAGGGACGGGGCTGTGGGAACGCAATGGCACACAACCATAACCCCGTCTGCGGATTGCCCGCCACATGAAAATGTGGCAGGCCCTACTTTTGCGACGACGCCTTCGGCAGAAGGCGCCGTCGACCTTCGCCGAGGACCCCCCGGAACACGTGGGGAGTCCTACAGCTCGAGACCCCTGCAATGCAGGCGGCGAACCCCGATTCGCCGCCCGCGGGTCCCTCTCTCAACGCGGCGCGCTGTCCGGCGCCACTATGTGCGCCAGGCGGCGGCGTCACCCCGGTCTCCTGCGGCGGGTTGGTGGCGGGTCGACATTAAGTCTTCCCGCGCCCGCTCCGCCGCTTCTCCGTCCTAAGGGCTAATAAAATTATTATGAACTGGTGTCCATTCGCTCCACACCATTGCGCCGAGTCCTACTCTTAGGCGCACCTCTGCCTCCAAGCGCCGGCTTTTGTCCGGCTGCGACGCAGCCGTTGCCGCCAACGGAATGGCCAGCCGGTTTCTTCGCCGCCTCACAGACGGGGCAGTTCGGGTCCGCCGAGCAGTCCCGTGCCCGGTGATCCGGCTTTCCGCAGCGGAAGCAAAGCTTGCTGCGGTCCACCTCACACGAGCACGTGACACCCATGTGCCCCGTCTCGAGGCAGCGGAAGCACCTCGTTGGCCGCGAGGGGAGAAGCACCACCCTGGCCGAGGTCCAGCCGACCCTCACGCGGCCGGTGTCGGTCACCTTCTTGGCGGCCGCCACCGGTACGCTCAGCCACAGGGAGCCATCCCCCCTCGGGCCGAAAACGAGCCTGCCCGGCCTTATGTTATCGGCCGCGCAACCTCCCTCTCTGGCCACTGCCTCCACTACCTCGGCCGCGGTGGCAGAGTCGTCGAGGCCGGTGACGCGCAATTCGGCGCGTTTCACCGGCCTGGCGACCCTGACCAGCTCTGGGCCGAGCACCTCTCTAAGCTTTGTGGCCAGAGAGTCCGCCTTCTCCGAGGCTGCCTCGCCACCTACCTCCAGCATTCGAGCGCCCGTGGCCGCCTTGCGGAACTTGATATCTCTGATACCAAGTTCCGCAAGTTTAATGCGGCTCTTCGCCTGCGTTAGGACCGCGGCATATGTAACGCCACTCTCCTCTGCTCCCGGAGCGAGAGTGAGAGTGACTGCCGCGGTCTTTGGGGCCCGTAGTTTGGCCTTCCTCTCAGGGGGGCTAGCCTTGTTCGGCCCCTTGGTCGCCTTTTTGGCCGCTTTTTTGGCCCCGCGTGCTGCGACCGTGGCCCATGTGGCCTCGGCGGGCGTAGGGGCAGGCCTATCCCTCGCCTGTGCGGCCTCTCTAGCGGCCAGGCTCGGCTGCTTCCCCTTCCTCTTCCTTTTGGGCGGTGCCTTAGGCGGCTGCCCATCAGTCGACGGGGTCTCGCCTGGGGCCGCCGCCGGAATTGACGCCCGATCCTGGGCCCCCGTGCCCGATGTTGAGGGCAGGGGCTCTTTAGTTGCTGGACCCTTCTTCTTTGCCCCCTGTTTTGCCTTAGGGAGCGAGGCGGGAGGGCCGTCACCTTCCGTTCTCCTGTCCGCCGCCAGCGGAGGCCGGCGGCGTGGATCGGGGAGGAGACGCTCCTCCAGTCCAGCCAGCCTGGCGTTCAGCATGCTGCCGAACGTTGCCACGTTGGCCCGCGATACCTCGTCTAGCAGCTTCTGGATGTCTGGTTCGTCGGGCTGGGCCGGTCGCCGTTTCATCTCCATCAGCTCGCGGCGTAGCTCCTCCATGTCTCTGTGGAGGCGCGCATTTGCTGTTTCCAGCCGCGCCACCTCCTCCGACATCGTCCGCTCTCTTAGCTGGGAGACGGCGGCTTTGATGTTTGCCGCCGCCTCCTTCAGCGCTTTTACCAACGTCCCCTTTATATTGGTGGACTTTGTTGCCACGTCTATAATCGTCTTCAGCGATGCCTCAACACATTTGTTGAGGGCAACGCTGGTCTGGTCCTCCTCTGTCTCGAACAGCGAGAGATGGGCCGGGCCGGATGGTATGGTGGCCCTTGCCTCTCTCGCTGTTCGCAGGGACGCGGCCACCTCGGTATCGGCATCGACGCTGAAGGGCCGGCCCCGTCCGCGTTTTAATTTGAGGGCTGCCCCCTTGACGGGAGCAGCGCCACTCGTCTCCTCCGGGTCAGAAGGGGGGCCCCTTCCTCTTTTGAGGAAGGCCCTTCTGTAGGACTCCCCGGACACGCCAGACATATAGCTGGCGGCCGAGGAGTCCGAGTCAAATTCGGTGTTGGACGCTGTAGCGCCACTGTCCATGCCAAACGAGTCGCACCGCGTCAGCATAACTCTGAGCGTGCGCCCGTTGTTGGCGAGTGACTCGAGCCACTGATCTCTCCCGCTCTGGGTCGAAGTGCTCGTGCCCCCGCTTTCCTCCTGTCTTAAAACTACGTCCTGTCCACTTGCCTCGATGTCCATTTCCGTTGCCAGGGTCGTCGTTGTATTTGAGTAGCAGTCCTTGCCCCCCCCAGAATACGCGGGGCTGCCCGCGGCCGAGGCCGCGGGGAGGGATTCTCCTCCAGCTGAGCTGGAGGTACCCTCCTGGGGTAAATTTGTATTGAGGGATGCCATCATTTACTTTTCCAGTGTTGTCGGACACCGGAAACCGCCTTTATTCCGGGGTAGGTCCCCACGACGCGCGGCCTACAAGGCCGCCATCCTCCGACCCATCAGGGTCCACTGGTGTTTCCCGCGGGCCTGTCCGGTATGGGAGGCCCTGTCCGGCATAGCCCCGCGGAAAACACCCCTCCACTCCGCACGGCGGCACCTCGGTGCGCGCCGCGCCCTGCACCACCCAATGGGCGTGCGTGGGCCCCGACCTGGGCCTGCGCTAGGCGCAGGACCTGGTAAGGACCCCATAGTGGCCGCGGGCCTGCCCGGTATGGGAAGCCCTATCCGGTATAGCCCCGCGAACACTATCCCCTCCCGGCCGGTTGTTAGCCTCCCCACAGAAGGTGGGGAGTTTCCAGGGTGCACCACGAGGAGGTCACC